TTGTATAGGGAGGTCACAATCATTCTAACTCATTGGATGCCAAAATGGATGGCTTGGGGTGAGTCACGAAGTCCGATAATTGTTTTTTCCTGAAACTTTGTCTATTCAATGACACTTTTTCTTTTTTGGAAATTGTTAACTCTATTCAATGACACTCTTACAACTACCCATTTTGAAATTTTAAGGGATAAAAATAAGGGAAAAATTTATATAGAGCCTGAGCTCTAAACAAACAAATTAGAGCCTACCTCAAAAATTTCACTAGAATAGATTGTATTGATCCAAATATCATCAAATTGATCATTTCGACATCAAGATGCATGGCCATGAGAAAAAAATGGATTTCAAGTTTTGGAAATAGTACATCTTGTACTGCATTTTTTTACTGTCAATTTTCGAAGACTTTCAAAGTTTTCACAGATCTGCTCTATATACACTATTTTTGAAATTTAAAATTGTATAATTAAAGATGAAAATATATTTGAAGGCTATTACAAAAATTTCTAGTATTAAAACCATATTTCCCAACACTATTTGAAGGTGGGTTCTAATTTGATTGTTTAGAGCCTTGGCTCTACACAAACCGCACCGTAAAAATAATTGTGACCTCCATGTAGAAAAGTTAAACGGTCTCTTTGTAGAAAATCCCTATATATATATTATATCCTAAGTATTAAAAGCCCACCCAAAAAGGTCACCGGTACCAAGGTCAGTTGGGCATTATCATTATCATCTGCGTTGATCTAGTTTGCATAGTCAGGTCCAAATTAACCAGGTTTCCAAATTCTGGATCTCCAACTAATGGATTGTGTGTACTGCATAATACTAGACACATCCCTATTTCATTATTTTTAGTGGCATCATGGAAGTACCTATCAGTAAGATGGGAGTACATATCCCAACTCTCCAAAGCAACCACACAATAGATTTCCATCCCACCATTGAATTATTATATGAAGCCCACTGAGATTGGTTGTCATGACATTAGAGACAACTTCATAGATAAGCATTTGCCCACCACATTTCTTTGGAGCAACTGGCAGATTCACTCAGCCCATTTAAATAGACAAAATTCATTAGAGAAAATGCTATCGAAATATGGGAGCTCCAGTTTTTAAATTTTTTATTCTTTCACATGGGTGGTGCGGGGTTGTTTAGTTGCTTTGGGTGTTCCATATATACTCCAACACCGAAGGTTGTTGATGTAGATACAATTATTGGCACATGACCAAGCTCTCTTATCCACCTAAACCTGTATGTAAGGGATCTAGTCTCATTTTCCAATTTAACTAAGAGTTACTTTCAATTTGTGCAGAAACAACTTGCAATTAATCCAAATGATGGATTTCATCACACAAACAAAGGGATGAATAGATTAAAGGCCACAAAATTCATCAATGTTAAAAAATGAAAACAACATAATTTGCACATACACAATTGTCAATCAGAAATGTAAGAACAAACAACATAATAAAAAGAACACTAGCAGTGCCGATTCATAAAAGATATTTTACATACCTTGACGGACCTCCAATGTGAATTTGACCAACGAACTGGGTCCAAATCACATTTGCCAGTTATAGTACCCATATACCTGAAATAAACAAGTTAAACATAGAAAGTCAGTCATTCGAACCTTTACCTTTAAAGGTCTTGGTCATTCAAACATTCAGAACACATGAATTCTAAGTGTAATTCAAGCATATTGCCCATATAAGCTAGATCTACTTTCTGCACAAGCAAACAGTTCACTTAAAAAACTACAAGCCTACCTAAGTGTAAGGAAATCTTTATCTGGCATGCCCATAGAAATGCAATCCATGAACCATTTACCTGCGAACACCAGACTCTTCTGTTTCAAACAGCATTCTAAAACGCATGCCAACTGATATACGAGTGTGATAAACAGCTTTGGCAAACTTTGCAAATGGTATAACAAACTCAGATGGGCTAGCTCTGCAAAATAACATATGCACTTTAGCCCAAAAGCAATATATTTGATGTTAATAAGGAAGCCCCCAGGAAGTATGCGAACTACCCATTACCTTGGGTTATAAAAAATTGTGAAACGGCTATTCGTAGCAGCAGCATGAGCAGCGGCAGCAAGTAGGCCTATGTGCATGCTATCACTCGATAACACAGACGAAGGCATTACAGTCTGTGGTCGAGTGGCACGTCGGATTCCCAAAAGAAGCTGATTCTTGTCGTTCCTAATAGGGGGCAAAATGGATGTTACTTGATAAAGTAAATCTCACTGCATATTAGGCAGCAATTACAAAACAAAACAATAGAACATACCATATAAAAATAACAGAATCACCCGCAACAAGCCTCTTAGCACTAACAAATACACTCCAACCAGTTGTAAGAAGATGCCTCTTTGGCTGGCCTGCATAGGACATGATAAAACCAGTATGAATCAAAATCAAGGAAGGGTTCTTAACTTCATTCACAAATTTATAATTAATTTGAATAGCCATCATTACTAATAACACAACCCTTTCAATCAGCTTAAGCAAAGTTCGTCTCAAATTACTACAAAGGTTTGCAGCTCACTAGCACTAAGGGCAAGCCATGATGTCAACATAATAGTTCACAACACTAGCCAGGACTAAATAAAAATTCCAAAGCAGAAAACAAATAAACTATTCAGCCCTCATGATGCTGATCTAATCATGTTGGAGTGGCAGACATAGCTTAATCAACAGACACATCTTGAAAGGAAACCACCAAGGTCTAAGGAAAGCATCATCAAAGCTATACTGTGGTATCATCATCGACCCACCTTAAGTCATGGATACAATAAGATTGCCAAAAGCTTTCAAGCCCATATCATGACAACAAGGCCACTTATGTATCAAATGCAAAGTTCATATGAAGATGTGACCAACACATTCCACATAATATAAATAACAGAAAGAGAAATTCTGTACAAGAAAAAATAATGGTTCAAGGTGACAATGATTGAGACAACGACATCCATAAAGCCCTCCAAAACATAATCCTCCAATACAGCACCAATTTCATGGGAAATGACAGATCTGCCCAGACAAAATTTCCTACATGACAATCAAGTATGATGGATTCTTGAGAAACTAGGCGTGACAGAAATATTCCCCACAGCCTTGAACTTGCCTTTTAATCCAAATTCCCCTACATTTCCAATATTAAAATGCCCAAACAAATGTCTTTCCTCAAACAAACAAAGATCTTTGAAAGAGAATCACTTTAATGAAATACTGATAAAAAATATTAACATTAGTATTGTGAATGATAGGAAACATAAACAAGTGCATCACAGCACTGAACCCATGACAACCAACCTCGGAATATGTGTCTGAATTTCCACTCAACATCATGAAGATCCCTTGCAATAAGCTCCTGGGCGGGTGGCTGCTGAGTGAAATCCTGAGTGCAGAAAATAAACCAAACATAAAATATACAAGCAACACAGAAAACACTTCCAACGGGTGGTTATAGTTCAATGATTCACACATATAAATATTTTTGTGACAACATGTTATAGTTCAATGAATCAATAACATATATTTTGGGCCAACATATCTTAGGGAAGCACATTTCCTGGGAGAAAACTTAGCCAGTAGAAATATCAGAGAAGGGAATTTGGTGTGGGATTCACTCCATGAGAAAATTTTCTTCAGTTTTGGGCTTATTTGCCACTTTTGGAATTTTTGTACCATTTATCCGTCAACTCTTAATAAAGCTTATTCATTTTTTGAAAAGAAAATAGATAAAATATTCCCATCAAGAAAAAATATGTTGCACAAGGAACATACCAAAGGAGGAAAAACTTTCTCAGCTGCGCGGCGAGGGACAGAGAAGCCTCCATGAGTGCTGGTGTCACTTGCAGTTAAAGTCTTGCAAAAATAATTTGTGGGTTGTTTACTTGGAAAACCAAGTACAGTGGGGACATATGCGTCCTTTTGCTCTTGCTACAAAGAAAGAGCGTATAATCAAAACTCAAGAAAAATATCCAGGAAACTTACCCATAGAAAAGAATAAGATATCCATGAAAATTAGTGAAGCAGCTCAATCAGTTTTATGAATTTGCCTGAGTTAGAGGTTGCAAGGTCATTTGAGCATAAACTTCATCCGTCTCCACATCTGCCTGAAATTCCAATGAGCTTTAGCCCTTCTAATTATTCATTTGCTAGAATGAAACTAACCAAAAAATGGCATAACTCACATGCATGGTAACATCATGAAGTTGGCAGATGAGTTGGGGAGGCAAGCTGGGGTAGTTAGGTATGTGAGCATCGATTTCCTTGTTTGTTGACGCCGCAACCTGACCACTCAAAAACCCCAATAAATGGTACATGCCCAAGAAACCAATATCACGTCAATGAATCCAAAACCAGAATCTCTTTGTTGGTATGAACCAGAAAACAGTTATGCCACCACAAATTAAGCGGCCTTCCCTTTAATTGGTTAAGAATGAAATTATGTGCTGATATTATTTATGAAAACATGGTTATAAGTCCCAAATTTGATTCCCAAGGCTGAAGTACCCAAAAACAACAATAATATGAATAATTACCTGCTCACTGTGACCCTGAGGAAGGTAGACAACCCTACTCCCAACCGCAGGTAAAGACACTAGAGGCCCGGCACATGCATGCCAAAGCTCTGAATTCAAACATCTCTTTTCTCCTGTCATATGATCCACCAAAGCATGATGAATTTAAACTGATCTTCGGCATTGGAACAGTATATGAAAAATATTGTTATTATTACTACTTAGTAGCAGCAGCAGCTGTAGGAGGAGGACGAGCAGTAGCTATTACAGCTGTTGTTATATTACCTATGCTAGTATTCGTTAGCAGTATTAGCATTACTTCCACGACTGGATGAGTTATTTCTACTGCTTCTGCAACTATATTGGGCTACCATTTATCAATGTTCACCTCTTAAGACCGCTGCGCAAGTCTAGACCACTTGCTGTTGGAGTATTTTTTTTTTTTTTAAACGTTGATACAGAATAGAATTACCATCTTAACATAGAGAATTAAAAAAGCCAGTTCAAAGGAAAAAATATATATCCCTGCTACTGATCATGAAATGAAGAGAATGATTCAACCCAAAATTCATTCAATCCTCAGTTTGTTCAGAGAAACTGAAGAAATTAATCCATAAAAAAAGCCTCGTTTTATTGTTTTAATAAGGCATTACATGAAAACAAATTCAATACCATAGAAATCCATTGGATATATAAGCATTATAAAGCAAAAAAATCACTTCCTGGCATATGGCAAAGCCAGGATAGTTCATGAAGCTAAACATTCAGAAACACTCATCGTAGGTAAAAGTATTTACTATATCAGACAAAGAGGAAAAACAGAGATTCATAAAAAGTAAGAAATAGTTCCCCAATTTGGCACCAAAAAATGCCATAAATGGAAATATTGAGCATACCTTCAAGCCCACGAGGATTCGAACCAGAGGATGAAAGCTTCATCTCAAACTCAGATCATCCAATGCTTCAAGAGAAAGTGCAACCCTCCCATTATATCCAGAAAATGAAAATAAAAGGAATTCCCTGCAAAAAGAAGGCTTCTAAACCATAAAAAACAAGGAGAAATCTCGAAAGCATTTTACCTCAAACATGACCCACCCTAGAAACCTCAAATTCACAGTGAAATTCATCGAAACATGAAAAAATGACTCCTCTGTACAAGCGCGAGCAATACAAAATGCAGCAATTTAAGAAATCCTAACCCTAGAAATCTCAAATGTTTCAGGGAACAACAGTAAAAAGGATTTCCACTAAGCCTACTCTGATTCAAAACGGAAAACAAGGCAAAATCGAAGACAAAATCCTCCAAGCAGTGAAACAAAACACTAAAAATCCCAAATGCAGTATAATAATTAACAATAACCAAAAATATCATAGGCAATACAAGAAACAAAAGCTCTGCAACACCATGAGAGCTTCCACGAAGTTTACCGTGAATTTCTCACTAGAAATCACAGTAAAGCTGAACTGAAACCCTAAAAATCTCATCCAGAAACCCTAGAAAATCTCCATCCCCGCTCTCCATTTACTGAGAAAAACCCCATAAAATTTTAATTCTTTTTAAAAAAAATGACTATTTTCTCTCTCTAGGATGCTCGTTTGGAGATCTTATACCCCGAGCTTCAGAGCTGAGAGAGGGAACAGTAACTTAAGGTACGATACTCGATCTGAGCCGTCCATGGCTCGTGCGGTTTCATCTTTGCCGTTCATTTACTGAGACAGGACTGATGTGATGGGACATGTGCCCCCACTCCTTGTAATGGGTCGCTGTCGGAGTACGGACACCGGCGAATTAAATAAATTCGAAAATAACGCAAGCCTTTTTGAAAAATGACAAAAGGGAGAGAGATAATGGGGTCGGCACAAATGACCGGAACTGACCCATCTTTTTCGGAATTAACCACTTTGAGGAAAAATGCACCCTAAAAATAGAGGGCCTATTTTTAGTTAATAAAAATTCCTCAAAAGTCACCCAAAATAATTTATTGAAAAAAATTAGGACCCGATTTATATGCGGCAAAGCGCCTCTTTATAAATTTATTTTTGAAATGGATTTTAGGATTTAATTTTTAACGTTATGTAATCTCTAATAGGAGACATGACTATGAATAAATAAATAAGTTTTAAAAACTATAAAGAAATAAGTTTTGAGACTTAGTTTGGACTATTTGTTTCCATTGTTTTTAGATGGAGCACCTACTTGTATCTATCTTTAAGATGGATGCTTTACACTTTCTCAACCACATATGTAGAAATGTGGTCCAGCTCGCAAAGTAGCAATTTTTTATTAAATTATATGTGGTTGTAACTTTGCAGCCAGTTAGCAAGGAATCGCCCGATCCAACCGGATAATCGATCATCTCGTGCCGATTTTGTCAATATATAGGAAATCGTCCAAGTCTAGATGAGAACTAGCGATTTGCTATAGTAAATATGGTTTTGCTATAGTAAACATACTGATTCACTTATTCGGATTGATTTTTTGCCGATTCACAATTTTTGCATGTATTTTTTGTTGATTTGCTATTTTTTTCCCAAAGTGAAGTGGCGATCCGGACCACCGATTCATCGACCAGAATCGATTTTTGTGATGCTTAATCTAGGTCACCGATTCATTTTTAAAATTATTGCTTGTAACTATAGAATGAAGGTACACCTTGAAACTCAATAAAAAGAAGAATTTCAAAGTTGGAAGACCTTCCAATTGATCATCTTGACTTCAAGATACATAATTATAAATAAAAAAAAAAATTAAAGTCTTAAAAATAGTTCATCTTATAACAAGTTATCTAGACCATCTATTTTTTTATTTTCATATGTTTATAGATCTATCTACTTGATCTATGCTGTTTTATTTTTTTAAATTTTATAATTAGCATTGAACCATGGATTTTTAAGCCATCGTAAGATATATCCCCCGAGTGGGCACCTTATACAAACCTTACCCATGTTTAGTTCGCAGAGTACCACCATGTACTTTTTGGGCGACCAATATATGAACAAGCTTTTTATAAGGCCCAGGCTTTATGAAAACAAAATAAAACCTCATCTCAAATCCTCGTCTGTAAAGCACTTTCGGCAAAAGAAATCTCCATGATGGCTCTAAAATTAATTTCCAACACCAATAATAAAATTTGAAACTAATAAAATAGTACAATCTTGCAGACCTATGACCACTTATTTTTATCACAAAATGGACAGTCTAGATAATTTGTTACGATGTACATTAATTTTAGTGCTAAAAATCCCAATTTTTTTTCTCAACTATAATTTTCAAGTCGAGATGATCGGTGTAAAGGTTTTCCAATATTTGAATTGTAATTTTGGATGAGTTATAAGGTGAGGCTTTACTTACTTTGATAGGGCTGCAGCCATATAAAACCATTTTCCCCAATACATTGTATATTGTTGGAGAGCATACACGTGTCATGTATGGTGTATACGCATGTGATTAGGGAGCATACACATGTTGTGTGTGTTGTATTCCCATGTTGTTGTGAATCATACATGTGAGGTGTATGGCATGTATCGTTCGTTAGATTGGCATGCATTTTGTGCCTGTTTGTTGTTTCGATAAGGGTCAGACTTGGCAGAACATAAACATTCTCATGTAGTGTTGTTTGGTGCCCGTGATCCAGGGTTTGACATGAATAAGCCAAAAAAACAAGAGCTACCCAATGAGAGATAGACAAGCTAAATATATTATTATGTTAATGTTAACAATTATTTTCATTAGTAGTCGACATTGATGCACGTGTATGGGTAACATCTTCACACAAGAGTCAGTGTTAAACATGGTGGCTTGCCCAGGCCCCTACCGGTAGTAAAAATAGTTAGTAGTTTTTAAATTCTTACGATGAAAATCTAGACCGATGTTTGAGGCTCAGGTGGTACTACCATCAAGAGACAACCTCAACCTCATTCCTTCTGCCGTGAATATAAATTATAGTTAAATAACTTTTGCAAATGCATGTAAAATTAACCAAGCAGCAGACATCGTTAATTTATGTTTGGAGGTCAAGAATTCGAACTATTAGAATTTGTCTCAACAACCAAACCAAATTGGCCTGATTGTTTTTGGCAATATTATGTAATGAGATATTCACCTTTAGTACAAAGATGTCGCAATTGCTTATAACCATCCAATCTGAAATCTGATAGCTAGGGTGTGTCATAAAGTTTGAGAATTTTGAAAAATTCTCAAACTTTGAGCTTGGTTAGTTGAATAAATCTAGTCACCCAATTTTATGTTTAATGGTCAAAATTAATTGTGACCACCTTATACCAAAGATAAATGGTCTCATTATATGTTTTTTCTTAATTTTGTACCGGAGTTCATATTTCATTTGATGATGACAAACAGCTGATACATGTAATACTTTGCAAGTGAAAGTACAATTGATTCCGATGCAATTTTGTGCAAGTTTCTATTTCTATTAATTTTTATATAAGGTGTCAGACATTCAAAAGAGGAAAAAGAAAAAACAAAGTGGGTGCACCTCAAAACCCATAAAAAAAATTGTTCTGATGTAGGAAAAACAATTGATCGTATCGAGCTCAAGATGTATAGATGTAGAGAAAAAAAATATCAAAGTTTTAATGTAGTGTGACTCATAACACATTATTTGAAACATCCGTTTTCAATATTTTAAAAGTGTTAACATATCTCGTCAATTTACACTATTTTTTAACTTTAAATTTTATAAATAGAAGGAAAATAGATTTTCAAGTCATCATCAGGGTGATTGATTATAGAATTGCATCTTTTGACGGAGTTTGAAGGTACGGCTTACTTTGATTATTTATTATAATTTATTTTTTCATCTACTATTATGGAGAACATGTATACTATGCTTCCTTGGGAGCAATTTACTTGTATTCCTTCGGACAGAAGACCTACTTGGGATGATTTTTTAAAATTTGAAATTTTGGATAACCACTTTAAAATTAATAGATGATCATTCTAAAAAAAATTGAATTTTGAGCTTTTTTACACTTATATCTCATTATCTAAAGATTAGATGGTCTCTATTCATTTTAAGAAATATTTTTTTAATATATCATTTACTTTTTATACAATGAGGTCATAATCATTATTGTCCATTAGGTTTCAAAATGAGTGGTTTGTAAGAGTGTCATTGATTAAATACAAAGTTAAAAGAAATAAAAAAATCAGAATTCATGACCTACCCCAATCCATTAAATTTGACATCTAATGGGTGATAATAGTTGTGACTTCCTTGTACAAAAAGTAAATTGTCTATTTGTAGGCAATCTTTTTTTCTTTTTTTTCGACTATGATTTTTTTTTAATGAATTAGTTTATTGATTGAAGATATTACATCCCCAAAATTTGGAGGCCTAAAATTAATTGTAGCCCAGGTTTTACCCAAAGGAGTAAATGGATGGGAGTAAATTATATTTTGGCTATTACTAAAAATAAAAAGCTTATACAGGGGTGAGGCGCTAAACAATCAAATCAAGACGCACCTCAAAAATTTCACTAGAAGAGGCTATTTCTATTCCAAAAAATCCTCAAATTGATCATCTCCACCTCAACATGCATGGCCATGAGAAAAAATGGATTTCAAGTTTTGAAAATACTGCATCATGTAATGTATTTTTGGACCGTCAATTTGAAATATTTTTAAGTGTTCATAGATCTGTTCTACACTATTTTTTAATATTTAAATTGCATAATTACAGATAAAAATAAATTTTCAGGCCATCACAAAGATTTTCAATATGGAAACAACTTCTTTCGACCATATTTAAAAGTGCACCTTACTTTGATTGTTTAGGACCTCGGCCTTATACAAACCATACCCTAATTAAAAGTAGATGATAGATGATGACATACCATACACAACCTACGCACGCTTTACTGCCCCGCAAATTTGATACGAATCCAAATGATGGAGACTAGGCCTAGCTATATATTCACTTGGATACGATCCATTTGCCATGTCTATTCAGAACGAAAGATGTGATCTCCCAATCGTACACAACACATGTGTACACTATTGCATAAGAATAGACTTTTCCATGTTTGTTTCCGCTAATATACGAGTGTAAGGTATGCCGACACAAGAGGAAAGATGGGGTATTCACTATTTATGTACTGCGAGTGTTATTAGGACACGGCTGGTCTAATCAAAATTGATCCAGTGGGTACGAGTGTTAATAGGACATGGTTGGTCTAATCAAAACTGGTCTAGCGGCTAGACCAAACGGGTTCTAATCACTACTTCCATTGAGTTTTTATTTGTAAAACAGTATTAAGGGTATTTGAATGGATGACTTAAATGGGCAAGTAATATAAAATGTTTTAAGGAAAAGTTCACATAGAGCCGGGGCTATAAACAATCAAAATAGAATCGACCTCAAAAATCTCACTATAAAAAGTTGTTTCGATGCTCAAATATCTTCAAATTGATCATCTCGTCATCAAGATGGATGGACATGAGAAAAATAAATAAATTTCAAGTTTTGAAACCAGTGCATCTAATAACACATTTTTCGATTGTCAATTTTCAAGATTTTTCATAGATTTGTGTGATCTACACTATTTTTGAAGTTT